AAAAGTGGCTCTGCCTTGAGGGTCACATAGCAGAACAGGTAAGGTGGAAATGGTGGAGGAGAGGGAGGAAAAGTGTCATTGTGCAGGCTGGATGACTGACAGCCTAAATCAGGTCCCAAATGCACAGAGGTGTGTAAGTGTCTAACTCCCAAATGACATGGGGAATTTGGCAGCTCCCTGCCAAGTGGTTCTGAATTGTAATGACTTGGCCAAAGTGTTACGGAAAGTTTGGAGAGCTAGGAATTAAACCTGGATCTCGGCAGCATTTAAAATTCATTTTAGCCTTTCTCTGCTCCTTCTCAAGGGCTGCATCTAGGCCTGGACATCTTGTCTGAGCATTGTGCTCTGTGCTCATTGCTGGTGAGCTGTCCTGGAAGCAGAAGCAGAAGACAATTAAAAACTAAGTGAATGAAGAAAACAATCTGGGATACAGTGTGGGGAAACCAGGTGCATGAAGCAGGCTCTGCCACATCTCTGTGTGTGCTGAGGTCTGATTTTGAGATGAAAAGTGGTTGTTCCTGGAGGAGGAAAGCAGCGGGACTTTTCTCCTGTCTGCACCACCACTGCTCTGTGGTGCCTGGGGAGTGAATACCTGCTCTGTCAGGCTGCTGCACCATTACCCTCCCAGTTGCATACTGGTTCCAGTTTCCTGGAGAGGGGTGGTGTTAGCACTGCTTTGTTTTCTGCAGATAGGGAAACTGAGGCACAGGGCAAGTGTCTGGAGTTGCAGTCTAGCTCAGCAGCACTGCTTTGCACCTCAGGGAGGCTGCCAGGGAGGTCCTGCTGTTGCCCAGGCCACCTCACAGGAGGTCCTCACCAGTTTGTATGGTTTTGTTCCAAAGGTTTGTGTGCTCCAGCTGCTGCAGGAGATGAGCTGCTGTGTTTGTTTCTACACTGTCCCTCTGGACAGGAATCCACAGAGCCCCATGACAGCACAGGCATCACCATCCCCTGTAGCAGCACAGCCAACATGGTGGATCAGTGGTAGGTGCCTACCACACACCTCTTCCTTCTCTCAGGTTCATGGAGGCTCTTTGCTACTCTTTCCAAGCTTATTAACAAATTTCTTCTTCCCAGTAATTCCAAGCTTCCCCAGGTTTATTTGGGTATTGCTGGTAGCAGCCAGGCTGTGTGGTGTTCATGAACCACCATGCAGGAACATGATCTGCTGGGTTCAGCTCCCACCTGGTGACCCAGGAGACAAGGGGTATAAAGGGCTGGTTGCAAAGGGTTTTCTCATAATTCCTGTTCTTTCCACTTTCTTTTCTAGAGCCTCCTGGCCCTCACCCCAAGGGAGCAGCTGAAGGACATTCCTGCCTGGATGGAGTCATTTCAGCACATCAGTGCTGCTGTCTGGAGTGCTGAGTCTTGCAGAAGTGGCAGCCCAAGAGCAGGTAAAGCATCTTGGCCTGACGAGCTCCATCTGAGCCCTGATTTGAGGTGAGTGACCCTGGTGATTTCACCTAGGTTCTATTCCCAAAGCACTTTATGGAAGAGATAATTTTATGAACCCCATTTCAAATCTGGGGAAAGTAAGGCACAGGAGCATGATGTGGCTGTGGTAAGTGGCAGACAAAGCCCAGTGCTCATGTGTCTCCTTCCTGTGCATCATCACCTGTGACAGGTTTCTTCTTCATTTTTACTCACACTAATTTCATGGTGATTTCATGATTTTTAGCAACTCCAGAGTCACCTCTAGCTAATGTATGAGAGAAGCTTGATGGATTTAATGTCTGAGGCTGCTTGCCCAGGGCTGTATTGCCCTCAAGAGTGTGCAGAGTCTGCAGTTGTGCCTGATGGTGGTAGGAAGGATGGGGGACACCATTGCCCAGAACCAGTGGTGGCTGTCCCAGTGCCACAAGGGTTTGGCTTGCTCCAGAGGGTGGACAGACATGCTCCACACCTCCACAGCCCCCTCTTCACATTTCTGCAAGCAACAGCTCCATGTGAGCTCTCTGCCTCCTTTTATGTAGGGTACCAAGCCCAGGCCACTAGCTTTGCTTCTGTACTATGATGTCCCTGTCCCATCACTGTGTCCTGGATCAGCAACCTTGATCTCAGGGAACTGGGTCCCAATCCAGTGGTTTCACATGAGCCAGTGATGATGAGATTCTAGTGAAACCAGGTGCTAGTTAACCACATCCCTGATGTTTCATCAGATCTGTAGGAAGTTTCATGAGCTACTGACATGAGGGGCAAAGTCTCCTTCAAACGTTTTAAACTCCAAACACCACCACAATCAGAGGTACCAAAGGGGACTTGGCTCCTTTCTGCTGTGCTGGTATGATTCAGGTAAAAACACCCTCCCTGGCCATAGGTCTACAAAAAAAACCAACAAATGGGAGTTTCCTCCTTGTGGAGGTGGTGAGGCTGTGCTGAGTGGGCTCCTCTGGGCAGTGGGGCTGTGAGACCTTTTAGCTGAGGCTTGGCAGGTGGTGCCTTTTGCTGGTGTTGCTCCAAGATCTCCCTTTTCTAGCCTTGGCTTTCCCAGTAGGAGCATTCCTGGTGTTGGGTTACCAGCACCGTTGCCTCCAAGGACACCTGTTGTTGACTCACCTATTGTAAATGGGATATAATTCCTGGAAACCATCTCTGGCCACTCCAGTCAGATTTGCAGAGTCATCTATAGGGTTTCATGTTACTAGAAGGGAGCAGCTTGTTTGTGAACAAACATTTTCTAACCACCTCCTGTTTTCTCTTCCTTCTTCTCTAGGTCGGGGTTGCATTTGCCACTCCTGTTTGGCCAAGGAGTCAGCATCATATCTGAGAGGTCTCCTGGTAACTCAGTCTCTGTCCTCCAGCTGCAACCCTATGTTCTCAATTCTATTAAAAATAAGTATTTTGATATATTTATGTTTTTAATACACTGTGTTGCTCATGGCATTATCCATCCACTGGCTGTGGCACAGATAAAGAGAGCAGTGGATGGAGCAGCAGTGGGAAAATCCTGCAGGGTTCTCGACAGCTTCGAGGAGGAATTTTTCAGGGGAAATCTTTTGTCTGGAAAATGCCTGCCCCATTGTAATGGAAACTCTTCATAGGAAGAGGTGTGTTTGGACAAATTTTCTGTGAAGTGTTTCTGGGGGAGAAAAAACAGGCTTGGAACAGAAATGTTCCAAGCCCTCCCACTTCAGCAATTTGCACATAACAGTGATTGAACTTTCTTTTAAAAATAACTGCAAGTGCTTAGGCATTTAAATGAAGAAATAATAAATTCATTAATAAATTCATGAACTCACACAAGGTAAAAAAAATAAGCCTGTGTGGAAACAAGCAGGAATTATTTTCCAGCCAAAACAAATTCTGTCTCTCCTGCAAGGTTACTTTGACCTCCTCAGGTGCAGGGAGACCTCTCAGCTCTTCTATCTTGTTCAGAAGCCTCTAATTTCTTACTCCAGGTGCCTGTGGTGCTGGGGACCCAGTGGTGTGACACTGTGTCTCTGCTGACCTGCTTTGCCTTGCTCAGCTGCTTTCCCCCCACCTACTGCAACCCTTAGTGACTTTGCTGAAAAATTATAGATCAAATTAAAGCCATCTCAGAACTGCTGGATCAGTGCAAAAAGGGAGACAGGATCCATGGCAGGGGGGAAGGCCACCAGCGTGGTGGCTGTAACACTGTGTTCTGCAGCTCAGGAACCAGCTTGTGTCTTGGGCTGCATCCCCAGCAGTGTGACCAGCAGGACCAGAGTTGGGATTGTCCCCCTTTACTCAGCTCTCATGAGACCCAGCCTGGAGAACTGAGTCCGGTTCTGGAGCCCCCAACATAAGAAGGACATGGAGCTGTTGGAGAGAATTCAGAGGCCACAAAGATGCTGGGAGGGCTGGAGCAGCTCTGCTCTGGAGACAGACTGGGAGAGTTGGAGTGTTCAGCCGGGAGAAGAGAAGGCTCCAGGGAGACCTTAGAGGAGCTTCCAGTGCCTGAAGGGGCTCCAGGAAAGCTGGGGAGGGACTTGGGACAAGGGGAGGGAGTGAGAGGACAAGAGGGAATGGATTAAAACTGGAAGAGGGGAGATTGAGGTTGGACATGAGGAGGAAATTCTTTGGTGTGAGGATGGTGAGAGCCTGGCCCAGGTTTCCCAGGGAAGCTGTGGCTGCCCCATTCCTGGCAGTGTTGAAGGGCAGGTTGGATGGGGTTTGGAGCAACCTGGGCTGGTGGGAGGTGTCCCTGCCCATGGTAGGGATCTAGGTGGTCTTTAAGGTTCCTTCTAACCCAAACCATTCTATGAGTCTATGCTATGATTTAATGCTACCTTTAGATTGGCAGTGTTATTTTCAGGTGGTTGTCTATTAGAAGCAGTGATGACATTGTAGTCTATGTCTTTTCAGATGTTTTGCAGCTCCCAGCTACTACAGCTGTCAGCAACACAAGAGGTGTCTGATGGTGCAGGAAAAAACAACCTGTCACCCTTCAGAGCAGGAAACCAGCTCCTTCATCCCATGCTGCCACCCACGTGGGGAAGATGTTGAAGCAGAATGATCCCAGAGGATCAGAACTGTTACAGTAAAAATAATTTAGATTGAATTTAGATGGAGTCCAACTGTAAACATAAACACTGCCAAGTCCACCACTAAACCAGGTCCCTGAGCAGGGCCTGCCTGGGTCCTGCACATGGTGCTTGTATTTATAGCAATAGAAGGAAAAATTAAATACAAAGAAAAATACCTTTGAGGAAAATAGTGTCCTGGGTGTTAAATGTTCTACCTTTGTGGCTATTTCACAAAAGTCACTTACTTAAACACCTCAGCATCACAACCCTCAGCAGAAACACTCCTTTTGTTTTCCAGGGAGCAGGTTCTTTTCTCCCAGAGCTGGCAAAGAACCCCTGTAAACCTGCTACAGCCACGTTTTTCCCAGCACCCTGACACCGCTCAGTTTAAAGGCTGAGCTTTCCACTGGCAGCTACTCCATGTTCCCTGTTCCAATGGAAACCTCCATGAAGCTCCCCAGCTCCCCCTCCCAGCATAGTTCCCCCTCCCAGGGTGCAGGCAGGGTGTCTCACCTCTGAGCAGCACACAGCCAAACAGCCAGAGGAGCGGGTGGACGGACGGAGCCAGCATCTTCTCAGCAGCTTGTGGCTCCACAGCCCCACTACAGCTCTGTCCATCCCGGGAGGGACAAGAGGGTGAGGAGAGATTTGCCTGCCTGGGCTGACTCTTACACAGCTTCCTGTTAAAGAATAGAAGGAAACAGGCTGAATCCACAAGGGAACTGTGTGTTTGAGCCCATTATGGTCGGAGAGGATGTGAGACATCGCTTACCGACGGCAAAGGAAGCCTCGCCATCGCTGTGTTTGGGGGTTTGGCTCTTGGAGCAGGGCAGAGCACCAAGGGCCTGCCCTGCCTCAGGCCTCAGGAACTGCTTAGTGGTGCCTGGGTTTTGTGGGAGATGCTGTCTGTGGTGAGGAGGTGCATACCAGGCCCTCCTGTCTGCTCTGTACCAGCCCCAGGGGCTGCAGGCTGTGTTGGTCCTTCCTGAGCAAGGACCTTGTGCTGGAGGAGCTGGTCCACCCATCCCAGCTTGGAGGGCATTTCTGAACATCTCCAGGAGGGATTTGGAAATATTTTTTCCTTGTGGGGACAGGGTAATTCAGCAGCTGGTGCTGCCCTGTGCAGCTACAGCAAGACTGGGAACCAGGATGTGCTGATCTGGGGATGCTGGCTTTGGGATGTTGTTTTCAGGAGCATCCTTTGGGGTGCTGGTTTTCAGGAGTGTCCTTTGGGATGTTGTTTTCACGAGCATCCTTTGGGGAGCTGGGTTTCAGGTAGCAGCAGCAGCCTTCCCCACGGGACACAGAGCACACAGTAGGTTTTGACTTAATCTAACTCTATTCCTTGGCAAGGGGAGGAACTGGGAAATTGGGCCAGTTCTGCTCCCCAATCAGCCCAAGTGGTTTGGGGCATTTGGTTTCTTGGCCCTGACCTGTCAGTCTGTTCCTCACTGACAATGCTTGAACTTCAGAGGTAACAAGTTGTCTTGTGTGGGATGTGAATGGGTGTTTGGGGGGAGAAGGGTCTTAGTATCCCCCTGTGGGAAAGCCTCCCTTGTCTGCCCATCCTAGTGGGTCTGTGGGTGTTCAGGAAGCAAATCCCCAGGATTTTGTTTCCTGGCTTGAGGGGCTGGTCCAGCCCCCTCTTGCAGCCCCATGGAAACCCAGAGAGGCTTGGCTGAGGGCAACAGGGCTGATTCAAGTGGGATGTTTTATGCTGCCAGCAAGGTTCTTGCTTTCCACAACCAGGAGATGGGGGCAGGAATGGAGGAAGAGCTCTCCTAAGCTGTGCCCAGCTCCTTGCATTTTAGTGGGTCTCTTCAAACACCTCCAAAACCCCAAGCAAACTGTCAGACCCAAAGCAGCCACCACCCACCAGCAGCCTCTGCTTTCACAGAACCTCTGCTCCTGCCTCCCCCATGGGTTTTTCTCTCCCTTGCACAGATGTGATGCTCAGAGATTATGCTGTAGATTAAGGTTTTACTAAATCCTGAACCGAGTGGAAATTCTCAGAAGCTCTAACGTGGCCAAATCTCTTCTGGATGCCCAGCTGGATGGGGCACCACCCTGTTGTCCCCCCCCTGCAGGAAGGACAGAGCCCAGATCTTCACCCCAGCTTGTCTGCTGAGAGCCTCCAGGTAAGAACAGGGTTCTTTTGGGATGGAAAGGTGGAACAATGTATTTTGTAGAGCCTACAACTCCGGAGGATCCACCTTCCCTGCCCTGGGATGTGCTCAAGGTCACTCCAGCTGGCAGAGGGTCTGACCCCAGGGCATCCCCAGACCCGGGGTGGGGGGACAGTCCCCACCTGCGTTCCGTGGGTACCCCCTGCCAGGCTCTGCAAAGAGCTCATGTGCTGAAGCGGGATATTTAGGGGTTTTTTTAATACCATTTTGTAACCTCATTCAATGTTAACGCCGGGTGGGTGGAAGGAGGGAGGTTTCCCGCCGTCAGGGGCCGGGGGTTGCAGCCGAAGGGGCGGCTGGCAAGTTCTCCCCGAACAAAAGGGCTCTTGTCTCGCAGCGGGCGCGGGGAGGGCTCGTGTTTTCCAACCCCAGCAAGGGAGGGGTCGGTGGCGCTGATGTGGCACCGGCTGGCGAGGGAGCAGCTCTGCTGCCCGTGGGATGGATGAGCCGGCGCTTCCTCCTCTGCCCCGGGGAGTCCCCGGGGGTGTGGAGCCCTGACGTGGCAGCCTCTGGGGTGAGCCTGGAGGAACCTCCTGCACCTTCACGGAGATCCAACCATCCTGGAGGTGCTGCTGCTCCTGCCCTCGGCTTTCCAGCCTCGGCGCTGGAGATGATGATTCCCGTGCAGCGGGGACAGCCAGGTACCCCTGGGGGCTGGGCAGGGTTCCCCTCTTGCCTCTCCCACCCGCGCTGGCTCCCACGGGATTGTGTGGCCGTGGCGAGGGGTGCCTCATGGTGTGTTTTGGTGGGGTTGGGTCTCCCAGAGAGGTCTCCCGGGGGGTTTAAGTCTTGGATTTGCTCCGTGGGGCTTGTGGTGAAGAGGGGAGGATGGAGGGCTCCCACCAGGGAGCAAGGTGTGGTGGGGAGGGAGGAGCCCCACGCAGAAGGTGTCCAGGACAAAGGGCATCACCTTTCCAGCACAGTGTGCCCAGGGCACTGTCCTACAATCTCAGATATAAACACTAACATTTATCCTGCAAGTCCCGGGGAGGGAGCACTTACAGCACTGATCCATTCCTCAGTAGCTTCAAGTGCAGGCAGGAGCTGCTGGCTGGAGGATAGGAGATAAGGACATCAGGTGGTCTCTGCTCAGTGGTCACCCCTTCCCATGCTGCGTCTCTGCCCCAGGTCAGCCTGCTCAGCCATGAACACCTCTGTGCCCAGCAGCCAGCTGAGACAGCCCGAGCCCCAGGAGGCAGCTGCCTTCACTCCCACCTCCATCGTCAGGAGCGTGACCAGGAAATCTGATGCCCTGCCCATCATCTCCATCATCGTTGTCATCTTCGTCCTCCTGGCTGTCTTCATCATCGTCGTGGTGCACTACGGCCCTCACCTCCGCACTGTCCAGCTCACCCTCTACCACGAGCCCATGCCACAGGACCTGGATGATGGGGTGCACCTCATGGACTGGAAGGTGCTGGGCTCCCAGAAGAAGCTCCCTGTCCAGCCTGACCAGGAGGAGCTGGCTGGTGTGAGCTGCCAGTGCCCCTGCAGGCATCACCTTCCATGTGGGAATGCTGAGCCCAACGTCATCGAGATCACATACTTGTGACAAGGCTGTGGCACTCAAGGGACTGTGTCCCACTGGAACAATAGTGACAGGGATGTTAGCTTAGCTGAGACTCTGATTCCCAGTGGAGGTTGTTGCTCCCCAGGATTGTGTCTCTCCCCAGGAAGCTCAGCTAGGAGGTTGAGGGTCACCGTGGTGACCCAGCCTCAGCCCCCAAAAGTCCAGCCTGGGGGGTGGCCACTGTCCCCAGACAAGAGCTGACTCCAGCCCAGGCCCTGGGGCTGGGTCAGCCTGCATGGGACAGTGTTGGAACCTTCTCTGGTTTTTCTCACCCTGGTCTTCCCTGTTCCCCACTGTCTGGGAGTGTCCAGGAGAGCTGACTGGGTCCTGGCCCCAGCTGGGGAGCTCTGGATATATGCTCAGCCCCTTGGCAGAAGCTGGAATTTACATCATCAGGAGTTGCTTTCCAGATTAAAGATGTTTCCACATGCACAGTGTCCTCATTATGCCATTTATATGGCACAGAAGAGCCTCCAGCTCCTCTTTTCCTCCATCCCACAGCCTTTTCTCCTCCATCCTCCCTCCTGCCAGACCCCAGCAGCCAGCTCGGCCCAGGGTGGCAAACAGCCAGAGGAGAGGAGGTGACACCTGAACCTGTGTTGGTGTTTCAGCAGTGGTCATCTTGTCTGGTCCCCCAGTGGAGGTGGTTGAGAGAAGAGGTGACACAGCAGAGGCAGGAGAGGTGACAGCAGCACATCAGCCACCCCTTGCAGTTGGCTGAACATCTCGAGGTGTTGGCACTGGTGAAGAAACGTGTACATCTCAGGGCAGAGCCTGCACAATAGCAGGGGTGGGGAGACCTGAGGTCATCTTCCTTGTGACCACCTTCATTGTCCATGTTGCTGTCTGCTGTCCCTGTGCTAAGGGAATCTCTGCTGGAGGACCTGGGGACTCAGGTGGTTTCAGTGTTGGAAGCAGCAGTGCAGGTCCCAGCTGAGGAGGGGGTGATGCTGGGGTTGGTGTAGCCAACCACAGGGGGATGGATGTTGATGTGGCTTGGTCACACTAGGCAGAAGCTCATTGAGGTGGCACCAAGGGAGCAGATAGAGACATGGAATGTCCTGCACCCCATAAGCCTTATGGTGGTAGCAGACTATGTTGACCTGCTGAGCCCTGGGAGTCTTTCTGCTGCTGGAGGCACCAGGCATCTCTTTGGACAAGAAGTTGGTCTCAGTTTCTTCTCACTCAGTGAAAGCTGGACATCAAAACCTGTTGTAGGTGTGTGGGCTCAGATGACAGCCCCTGGGGTAGGAGAGCAGCATCTGGGATCACCCTTAAGCATTCCTTCTGCTGAATTGTCCCAGAAGTCAAAATGTGATTCCCTTCCCTCCCCACCCCAGAACAGAAAGGCCAGATCCGTGTCTGTCCTGAGCTGCATCCCAGCACAGATCCCTCTGTTGGACAAGAAATGGGGTCTTTTACCTGTTCCTCTGGGCACTGGAGCTGCTTCTGGCAGGGCAGATGCTCCAGCGTCTTCCCACTAAACTAAGAAGTGGTTGAATGTGCTGGAAACGTTTGGTCTTCACAATAAATGTAATTTATAGTCCTTTTTTTAGGAAGGTTGTTTTCTGTTTTGGTATTTTCCCCCTTTTGTTTTCCAGAGGTGCTAGAGCAGTATCAGCTTCCCCAGGCCTGTGTTAGAGGAGATAAGGTCCATCATTTCACTTGAAAACCACCCAGAGTCCCACCTCCCTTCACACATGAACACAGGGCTAATTTTTTTTAATTGATAGCTCCCTAATTAGCAGCAGGGAGGGTGGCTGGAGGTTGTGGTGAGACCTCACCCCTTCCAGCCATCCCAAGAGCTGCATTGTG